CATACACTGTTGCCACATTGTTGTGTTGTTGTGGTTGGGTTTTTTGTTGGTTTTTTGGTTGGGTTTTTTTTTTTTAACAAATGAAAAAACCCCTCTCACCAACTCACAGCATGACCCCAGAGACTGTAGAAAGGTAGATAATGGGCTCTGGTAAGATGTGTTACTATCATGGGGAGGGTTTCAATGACTCAATGACTGTCTTAAATGTCTTTTCACAGCTTCAACTTGGAGTCTGTCAATTCCATGCGTTGACTTGGAGACTCTTGATTCAACTACAGCATGGCCCTTGAGCCTGGAGATAGTCTGGTTGTTTTCAAAGCTTGTTAGCAACCCTAGATTGCAGAGACTGTGCCATCTAATGGCCTGAGTTAAAATCCAGCAAAGCTCAGAGTGATTTTGAAACCCTTGGAGATGAACAGATTTTGCACATGATTGACTCCCCCTTTCCAACGGAAAGGGCCTAGATGTGAACAAGAAGCAGGTCTACTATTGATAGCTCCCTTCTGGTGGGAAATTAGGCAGGAGTTGTCTGTTCCATATAATAGGAGGGGAATCTAAAGCTCAGGGCAATCTATTTTCAGAATCTGCCTCCTAGTCTGGACCAGAGCTGGGGTCAGTGCCAGGAGGCCTGACTGCCAGGCCAGCCTCTCACAGAAGTGAAGATACTGTAGAACAATTCAGGTTTGTAGGGACTGATCTAACTCAAAGACCACTTCCAAATTAGATGAAGTTGCTTGGAGCCTTGCCCATTGCAAAGACAACTTATGGCTTGGGTGATACCTCTTCTTCATGCCAAGACAAAGCCCCTCAATGGGGAAACCTTGGGTGGTAGCAGACTCTCTGTTCCTGCGACAGATCTGCAATCATAAAGCCAGCCAAGGATCCTCACGTTGTGCCCAGTTCAGCTGTTGACTCTCCAGCTGCTCTGATGCCCCAGAGGGCTGTTTGCCATGGGGGAGAGGAGCAGCTGGCTGCGCTATGTGAAATGTCTGTGTTTTCCCAAGATACCCATTGTCTGTCTGCAGCACCAGCCTCCACCCTACTTGCTCACTCAGCCGTGGCTGATATGTCTTTAATTAAAGAGAAGGAACAATTTGAGATTTCATTTTCTTTTCTCAACCATATTTCCTATTTCCATCAGAATTTCCAGGGCCCTCTCCCCTTATTTTTGTCATAGAGTTTTGCTGTGTGGCTTTCAGTTTATGGAGTGTCTGCTCTAAAATAAGGAAGAAATAGGAAAAGAAAAAGCTTGTTTTGGGCCAGGGAATTAAGATCCTGGGTCAGATGGCTGCTACGGTCATTAACATATTTACATTTTTGCTTAAGAGCCTGGTCGAGGATCAAGGGAGTTAAGAGTGATTGTCATTGAAATGCAGAGGAAACCTTGCATGAAATTGCCGTTAGTGTCCTATTGTTTGGGGGAAGGGTGAGGGGGGGCAAATGGCCTTCCTTATCCCTGCACTGGTTGTGTTGTGCTTGTCTGCCCAAGTAGATGGGCAGAGGCAGAAGTAACTACAGTGAAGGAAGCCACTGCTCTGACTTGGCTGCTGGGGGGCTTTGTCGGGGGAGCACTCCCTGTGGGGCTGGACCTGGGGCTCAGCGCAGCGGTGCTGGTGGCTGCCAGTCATCGTCTGTCCTCTCGGTGAGACAAAGGTGCTCGGCTGGGCTGGTGGCACAACTGGCCCTTAACGAGATCATCATGGATAAATGCATGAAGCGACTAGCAAAGGTCAGTTGCCGCTTTTATAATTGATGGACCCAAGTGTTTTGAGTGTGCCATTGCACGTTTTTGCCGTGTGCGGGGACACGTGTTCTGCAGGACCGGCTCAACCCCTTGATTTTTGTGGCTAGCTGCGATATCAGAAACAGTCAATTTGAGGCAATTTGAAGTGTTGGGGTGGATTTTGAGTGCTGTGGTGACAGATGAGATTTTTATATGCTGAAAAAAAATATGTTTAAACATAAATAAGAGACCTCCCTTACAGCTGGAGTTTACAGTAAAACATTCTGCTCCAGGTTGTGGAAGCAGCAATCTAGTTCTGCTCTGAGGCAGGCCTTTTCAGCTCAGATACCAGTTGTTCATTGTTCACCTCTTTCATGCTGTTCAGATCCACCGTTTTAATTCAAATCTATTTCTAATTAGTATCATTAACTTAGTGCCAAAAAGAAAATTATACGTAGTAACGTGAAAGAGGAGAACAGGCTCCCTAGCACTGAAAATACTAGCTACCTTCTGCCACTGCTGTGATTTCGGTGGGGCAAGCAGCAAGACAGTGAGCTGAAGGAGGAATGCTGGTGCCTATTGGTGTGAGAGAGAAGCATCCTTGGAGCAGAGGCTCATTCAGAGCCACCAGACAGGCTTCAGCCGGCTGTCCGTTCGGAAAACAAGTGGCCAGTAACAGGTATGGACAGTACCATCTTGAGTGACAGGATCGTTATCTGTTCTAACGCTAGTGAGTCTGGAGTCATCCCTATGTCCTTGTGGGCTGGTTTGAAGCTCTGAAGCAGTTGTGTAATTTCTGTTCTTGGTTACAAAATGTTTCTTTTCGGAATGCTTTAAAGCAGAACAGTCTGGGAAAAGTGGTTTGTGATCTGGAGCAGCTCTTTGGTGCTTTGAGAGCCTGTGTGCTTCAGCTCTGTATCTCTTCTGCCCTTTGAAGGAATAGCCATGTTCCCCACTGCTGTGACCATTGGTCTTTCCTACAAAGTCAAACAGTGAGCACACAGCAAGGGGGGAGAGTTCCACGCTTCAGTTGCTGACCCTGGCCCTTAAAGTAGGGAGGCATTTAAGCCTTCAAGAAGCAAATGGATTTGTCCTAGACAAGATAGGTTCTGACATCTTAAATGTCAAGATATAGTTAAAGTGGTGCAGTTAAGTAAGACGTTGGTTAGGTCAAATATTTTCAGGAAACAAGGATGAACACAGCAGTATCCATAGGATTGCAGGTGTTAGATCCATTCGCTGAATGACTCATCTCCCAGCTTCTGCAAATTCCCCTTGAGAAAGGTCATCTCAGGTATTATGCTAATAATACTTCATTTCCTGGGTATCTGTGCCTCTGGGGTTGGGTCCTGCACACTGAGACAGGCTTAGGAGTCCCAGCAAGAATCAAAAAGCATCAGAGCTGAGTCTGAGTGGAATGGCCCTGATTTTGGGGTTGGTTTTAAAATTTGATCTGTTAACTCAAAGTATCAGTGTGGGCTGACTGGAGTAGGGGAGCTAAACTTCTCCAGGGATTAATATTAAGCCCTTGTTGAACGGTAAACAGCTGATGAAATCCACCTTTGGCTCTGGGTGCCAGCTGTCAGGAAGGTACATCCAGGCCACCTCGCAAGGACAGAACAACCCTTGGCAGAGGGTGGGGGAAGAGTGCCCAGCTCTGGCTGTCCATAGGTCACTTGGTTTGTCTTGTTTTGTGTAATCCACTTGGCCCAGCAGCTTCTCACAGAGGGGCTGCTGCCTTGACAAAATAGACGACCAGCCCTGCTCCAGAGACCCCAGGAGCAGCAGGACAAAGGTGCTTGGGATGGAAGGAGATGAAGCCAGATCCTTGCACGTGCGTACTGCGTCCTCTCAACAAGCTGCCCGTGCCTGAGGCCAGTCTGTTTAAAGCTGCTCCGCTTGCTTCAGAGCAGTGCCAGCCCTGCTGCTGGCAGGCTGCATCCTCTGCCACATCCCCCTTCTCACCCCTTCCCTTGCCAAGGGAGACTTTACTCCGCCGTGTCTGATTGAAGGCTGGGCGCCTGTTCAGCTTTTGTTCTCCGTTAGGAAAGAATGAGGATTGTCAGGACCTTTTTGGCTCTGCCAAGGCCTTTTATGTCCCAAATGTTTCCATGAAAAGACTCCCTCCTGACCACCGTGCCCCCTGACAGCCATTCAATCCAGCCAACAAGCTTGATATCATTATCTACAAAAGGAGGCCAGTGAGCACCAGGGTCCTCACAGCCAAGTTTGGGAAATCAAAGGCAAAGCTCCCAGCAACAGAGAGCTGGCAGAGACCAGACTGCACCACAGCTAGTGCAGGCTGGTCTGGCAGCTTGTGTCCACTAGTTTTCAAAGCACAAAAGAAACGTGCTCGGCGCGGTGCCAGCACTGGCTCTGTTGGGGCTGGGGCTGTGCCCGTCTGTGAGCTGGCAGCCCCTCGCAGGGTGCCCTGGGGAGCTTGGTGTAGGCTGGAGGTCACTGGAAGCAGTTGTCAGTTTGAGCAGACTTGCAAAGCTGTCTCCTTTCGATCAGTGGCATTTTTAGGAGATGAACCACTTAGTGTGAAGGAAAATGGTGATGTTTTTGGTCAGAGGTCAGAGTGCGATTCACTCCAAATCTCACCTGGGACTTTTCTTCTAATGACTCTGGTTTACGTTCTGAAAATGTCGTGTGACTGACTTGTCATTCTTATTTTGATGTAACGTTTGTCTGCTTTGCTCCCTGTCCAAAGACCTTCCTTCCAATCCATCATAAAATACAGAGCTCTTCAGCAGTGAAAGCATTTCCCATTTTGAAGGCATCTGTAGAGGTGATCTAGAAAGGTGACTGTCAGAAACACTGAGCACAGAAAGAGCTTGAGGAGGGATGGCGTATTCCTGTGTTGCAATTGTGTTAGGAAATACAGGAGTAAAACTGTTTTCAGTATGGTTTATCTCACAGACTGCATCTCTGGCTTCCTACCTAGTCCAGATAGAGAGAGATATAAAAAATAGCCAAAAGAAATGATGATGCAGAGGGAAGGAAAGTGAAGGGAGCTGACTTAGCAGAAGCTTGGGTGGAGACAAGGTGAAGGTGTGGATGATGATGCCTGGGTTTTTCCCTCTCTGCAGCAGGGTGCTTTGTAGTCCCTGGGCACTGAAAGGAAGCTGGAAATGTAGTAGCAGGGCAATGTGTCCCAAAACCTAGAGCAGCCCCTGGGGTCCCTGTGGGTCTGCAGTGGGTGATGAATGCCTAGGAGGGCAGAGTTGTGTTTAACATGGAGTGATTAATTCTGGCACTTCCCCTCCTATCCCAGTTTGATCCTGACAACACCGGCTACATCAGCACTGAGAAGTTTCGCTCCCTTCTCCAGAGACACGGATCAGAGCTGGACCCCCACAAGTTGGAGGTCCTGCTGGCCCTGGCGGACAGCAACTCCGAGGGGAGGATCTGCTACCAGGACTTCGTCAACCTGGTAAGTGCTCTGGCTGGCAGGGCCTGTCAGTCCTTGGCTCCACTTAAAACGTTGGCTGTTGAGGGGGACGGTCTCTCTCTCTCCCTCCCTCCCTCTATCAAGGCCAGTGTTTGCTGTGTCCCTGCATCACACTCCGCGTGGCCTTGCTGAAATATTCAGTGGTGATTGAACTCTCAAGCTAAGAGTCAAGTTGCTGCTGATTTTTCCAAAAAGCAAGTCTGCATGGGGATAAACAGTGGGAGTTGTTGTAAGAGGAACATGAAGCAATGGCTGCTGTGAGTTTAGAGGCTTTTGCTCTCATTAGCTGTCACAAGGAGCCATTTGTTTGCAAGCAGCAGTTTGCCAGACTGGATGTCTCCTATTTTATCTAGAGATTTCACCACTTCCAGACAAAAATATATAGATAACGTTGTGTTGACTTGCTGGGTGGAATCATATTGCACTGCTGTAGGCATCAACAGCAACAGGGATAAAGTGTTTCTAGGTCATGTTCATTTTATCCCAGGTGAGATGTCTCAGACGGCATGAGTCATGATCTGGATGCCTCTCTATCTGTACTAATTAGTCAATTAGTGAAGGGATCTCTCTTTCTCATCAAGGCAGTTTGGCGAGCCAACACAGATGTAGACATATGTTGTTAGATGCCTAGGATGGCCTAGACACATTGTTTGCAAGATGGATATCTTGAACAGTGGCCATTCCAGAGGCTTTTCCCTGTTCTTGCTCTGTCATTCCGCACCTGAGTCCCAGCAGATTTAGTGCAGCAATAAGAGAAATTTGGGTGACAAAGTCAGTGAGCAATGAAAGTCAGTGATGTCTCTAAGGTTTCACTGGAAAGCTTGATGTGTTCTTGATGCAGAGGATAATAAATTGTGTCTCTGTGTGTTCCTGCTGTCAAGATGGGGATTTGATCCCTCTGTTTGTCATGGTCACTCCTACATGTGTTCTTGGTTTAGAAAGAAAGTGTCTTCCGTATGTCCTGTTTTCACATTGATCAGAAAAGTACGCTAACAGGGCACAGCTATCAAGGATCCAGGTCACAACCTCAGTCAGGCTGTTGTCAGTGTGAAGTTACTGTGATTCAATGACATAAATCTGCTGTATCTAACCAAGCTGTCTTGTTAGCCCCTTGCACGTATTTAGGTACACGGTAAAATAAATGTAGCAACTATTAAATAGATCACAGTGAGTGTGAGGTTTTCCTCAGCTCCAGCTTAATAAACAGTGTGGTCAATGTACTCTGTGATCAGCAGTGTATTTATAGTAACAGCTGCTTGTTCTACAGCTTGGTATATTCAAAGTACCATGCAAGCATTCACTAATTGAGCTGCACAACACTTAGGTAGTGGGAAGAGGCATTATCTCATTTCTTGTACAGAAATGATGGCCTAGGGCCAGCCAACATGTTGGCAACAAGCTCGGGAATAGAACTGAGGTTTTCCCTCTCTCCTCGCTCCACTGTGCTTGGGAGCAGCACAAGCTAATGAGGGGCAGGAGGGAGGTGAAAGGCTTGGACATCCTCCTCCTCTGGGGAATGGGAGATTGTGCCAGCTCACACCCACCTGATGTGATTTCTGCAAAATGGCCAATTTCCTTCACTATTATTGAATGACTCCTGTAAAGAAGCCATTGATTCTTCTGTCATCAGTCCCTCTATCCTCATCTGCATTTTTTGCACTTCCTAATCAATAGGCATTGCAAATGCCAGAACATTAAACTATTTACAAATGGCATCCCTCTTCTCATTCCTCCTCTAGTTGCTATTGATTTCCAACGTGCAAACTTTTTAGGGCTCCTTCTCTTTTCCCTAGTCTCCTGCTCCCAAACCTGCTTTTTGAACTTCCTGATGGAGAGGAAACTTCCTGATCCTGTTGACACAGAATCACTGTGAAATTAGTGATATTCTTCACTTTATAGCTGTCAATCCTGGAAACTATGTGTGGTGCTGTTTAAGTACATGCTTGTGCTTGATGATCATCAGCCATCTCTGCTTTTTGCTCGGGTTAATTTGACTGTTTCAGTAGCTTAGCAAGAATTGATCTGCACCCAAAAATGATGGTGCTGGCTGTGGGGAAGGGAAGGGCTGACCTTTCACTAGATCCACAGAGGTTTTACAAGTGTGCCTCTGTGTGGGGGGGTTTCCTTTTCTCCATCAATATTCATGAACAAGTACTTGGACATGATCAGAGAATCTCACGGCCTCCCAAATGTGCCCAAGCTCCTGAAACTTTGTGCAGGAGGTAAAATTGCATTAATAAGGCTCTGGCCACTGGAGAGGCCTTGAAGGGAGGAGTGGGGCTGGATATCAGAGGTGCATTACAGAGCAGTTGGCAAAGCAGAGGTGTGGAAGGAAGGGGACTCCTCTGTGTGTCTCTTACAAACAGCTCTTTCTGTTTCTTTCCAAGGATGGGGATGGAAGGAGCTGATGAGCTGCCTGCTCAAGGTCCTATGAAAAAAATTAACTCTATCCCAGCCAAAGCCAGTACAAACATGCGCTGTCTCACAGAATCCAGCAGAAAGTAGGGTTTAACCACTGGATATCAAGAGAACAGTTTTCAATAATGCATTGCTGGAAGTCACTTGTTCTTATTAGCCACTTCAGTGATAAAAGCAAGGCTTGGTTCTATCCCTTGTGGGAACACTGTGCATGCCCGTAGGTTTTTCAGGGCTGTACTTTCTGCTTTGAAAGGTAACTCTTGCTTTTGCTGTTTCAGTGCTTGCAATGGTAAGTTTTACTTGGGATACATCCTTCAACCTGGCTTGAACTGAAATGAGAGGAAACAGTGAAAGCAAAGCTGTAGCTAGGAAAAAAGATAACTTTTTCAAAGGAGAAAACATTGAATTTTATCTTTTGGCTTTGTGAGTGTGTATGTGGCAGCACCAGGAGGGCTTTATTATCTTTGTAGAGGTGAGCTTTTAAGAATTCACATACTGTATTCTTGTTTGTGGGGCGGTGAGAGAGGTCCTTTAAACCATGCTGTGCTCGGAGTTTTTTTTAATGGCACTTAAAAGTACTTTGTAGTGCGGTCATAAAGTAGCTATAAATTGTCTTTGCATGTCCTTTGCTGAACCAGCTGACAGCCTGCAGAGAAGGCTTAGGTGAACAAGGCTTTGCAAGAACTGCATATAATTCTTTATTACCTGAGTCACTGGAAAGATAAGCAGTAAAGCCTAAATCTGCAACTCTCGGGGGGATCCCCAAGCAAGACAAAAGTTTGCCCAAATGAGTATCTCCTCTTCTTGCTAAATCCTTGTTCACTTTCTAATGAGTGTTTTAAGCTTAAAGGGCTATTGCAGAACAGCCTCAGTTCTAGCGGTCTTGTCTGGTGTTCTGTTATTTTGTTCTCACTGTTGCTATTCTGGAAAGGTTTGTTGCAGGCAAAGCTGCAGGTTTTATAGCTGCTTTTCTTCCCCCCTGCTTCCAATTAGATGTGTTTTTGAACAGGTCTGCCAAACATCAAGAGGACTCCCATCTGGAGCCCTCTGGGATGTCCTTCAGCTTCCCGTGGAACACCCCTTTATGTGCTCCCTCTGTCTTTGATTCTCTGTCTTGGCTGAAAGCATAGGATTCCTGAGCTCTCTTTTTGGCTTTTATTCAGAGGTATAATAATAAATATTTAATTTAAAAAGGTTTGAAAATCTCTTACTTCAGTATTTGATCTAATATTATGCTATTATGAGTAAGGAGGTTTTTTCAAGAGATAGATGAGAGTAGTCACATGATTGTGTCCTTGTCCATCTCTTACCTCTCAAAGCGTTAAAGCCCTTATGGAGGTGCAAAGTTCTTACTCCAGGGACTGTTTCCAGAAGCAGGATAGCCCTCCTGACAAAGTTACCTCACAGTGCCTTCATGTTGTTTTCCTTCCCATTTTGGAGAAAAATGGTGATTTTTGATGTTCCAAGAGCCATGTGTCTCTCCTGAGGGGGGAGGGGGGAAAGCGGTCAGAGGGCCAAGTGAGAATCTTAAAAGTTAGTAACTGGGATGTGAGGGCTGCTTTTGGATTGTGGTCAGCTTGTACATTGATCTGAGTCCATTAGATACTGGCTACACATAGCAGGAGAAGAGAGAAATTTCTGCCAAGTGAACTAGTCTGGCAAATAATCATTATGCCAGTTAAGTGGAATTTAGCACTGAAATTTCCATCCTTAACCATGATTCCTCAGCTGTTTTCAATCATGTGCAGTTAAAACTTGAGAAGCACAATGTCAACCTAAATGGTAGTTTTAATTGTGTGTGTATCTGAAATACGCATGTGAGTGGGAAATGTTATAAAGATACTTTAAAAAAAATTTCGCTACAGAAAATTAAATCTGGAGTCATTTCAGTTGTAGAATCCTTCCCAGCACCAATGAAAAATAGAACAGGTGGTGGGGGAGGTTGACCTTTCAAACTTTCTGTGTTTTGACAATGTTATTTGAACTGAAATGTTAGTCTTGTCCTGCAAGCAGTGCTCTTGCAATTAACCTTGAAATCTAAATGTGGTTTACCTTTTCTGATGGAAATGCTGGAAGGTCTAAGCCTGGCACATTTAATAGGAGTCCAGACAAAACCTTAAGCAGGGAATACCCTTGTAATGACCAGAATAATTTATTTGATCTCTCCTGCCTCTAACTTTACTTGAATCCCTAGAGTAAGCTACTGCTTGGTCAGAGCAAATCAGGATGTTGGTATTTGCTTTTTTTCCAATTGATACTGTTTGGGAAAGTGCTTCCAGGTTGGCTCAGAGGATGCGAACATCTGTGACAGATGAACGTGATGCTGAGCTATGCGTTTTGGGAGAAGCAGTCTTTACCCACATTAGCATTTTGGTGAAGTGTGGAGTGAGGGAAGGAAATAAATGTGAATCTTGAAAGCAGAATTGATTGGAAAGGCTGCATTTGTAAGTAAAGTGGGTTATAAAACTGGAGCTGATAGAGGCTTTTAAAAAGCTTGTGCTAACTTCTGATTTAGTGTTCTGTGTCTTGGAAGATCAGAGCTGGAGAGCTGAATGCATTGCCTG